CCACACAAACCACACGAGGAGCCCATAAGCAATAAGATAATAGTGGCCGGGTGGGGGCGGGTGGGCGAGAACCAGGACCCCTCACGGACTCTCAAATATGTTAAATTAGATTTAACAGACATTACCGCCTGTGCCACCAAGTTTGCTGTCCCTATGGAGGGCTATCCCAATGGCTATAAAATATACCCGTCACAGATGTGTGCCTTGACTTATGGAAAGGATGCGTGTCTTGTAAGCAATCACTCCATAAGTAATCACTCAATAAAAATTATTTTATTTTAAGGGCGATTCTGGGGGGCCAGCCATACAATACCAAGTAATTAATATCGATAAACTATAATTGAATTATAATTATTAGTAAATTTTCTATATTATACCTTTTGCTGTATGTGTATGTGTAGGGCAATAAGGCTGTACTGGTAGGAGTGGTATCCTTTGGAATCGGTTGTGCGAGTATGGATCCATTTTCAGTTATTCTTATAATTATATGCCATTTATTTTGATTTTTGTTACATTTTATATAATAAATTTACTTATCACTTTTTATTTTTCAGCTCATTTTCCAGGAGTTTATACAAAAGTGTCTCATTTTACGGAATGGATGGCAAATAATATGGACTGAAATATAAATTAGCATATATGCCAATTTATAAATAAGATTCCTGATATTAAAATTAAATTTTATTAATTGTTTCTATTAATTCATTTTGTTGGACTCATCTATGAGTTAAGTAAATATGTCAATAATTTATTATACATAATTATACTGCTATAATAAATATAAGCTGAATTAAAATTTGTATCTTTATTATTAAATAAAATACTATAGTTACTAAACTGTAATATAGTTTTTAAATTAGATTTAAAAAATTTAAATAAACCTTATTTAAATAAGTTATTTTATAAATATTATTGTATTGTATGACTTACTCATTTTTACTAAAATAAGATTATTATTTATCACAATTTTCTATTCGACCTTAACCTGGAGGGTGGGCAGACACTTAAATAATTTATTAAAATGGTATAAAAATACTTCAATTCAGACAGGAATTAGCATAAACACTTTCTAAAAGAAACTGAAATTATATTTTTTCGATATAATCTTAAATGACTTTCTAATTTATATTGAATAAAAGGGTGACTCAAGAGGACTGGTAACACAGCGATTAACGGGAAGGTCTCATCCAAATTTAATTTTAAAATTTAGTTGAAAGTAAATATTTTGTGTAACTAATTTATAGCATTCAATCGATTTGAAAGGTGGGTGTCGTGTCATATGGCGTGGGATGTGTTTAAAGTTTTGCGGGTTAGCTGTTGTCTCATCACATGTAATAACATGGAAATAAAATAAAATACTGTATATCTAAATTGTAATTTCAAGGATTTTTACACTGAGTCTATGTATATCTAAAATAAAAACTCTTTTTCTGACACTCATTCACTGATAAATTATTAATTGGTTTTTATATTTATTGAATTTTAGGTGTTTTCACAAAGAATCAAACACTAGTGCACAAATTTTGATTTAATTTAATATTAGAATTCATTATTTTATTTTTTGATTGACAAATTTATTTAATTGTTATGCTAATTACCTTATAAAAAATATAATAAAACTCTTATTAATAATTATGTGAATTGTGTTGACCTGAAATAAGCTAACATTGTATCAAAAATTGTATAAATGTTTATTATATTTGTGTAAAATAGTGTAAAATTTTGTGAATGATGTCTCAAACTTTGAATTGAGAAAATGTCTTTTATAATGTCGTGTCGTCTATAATAATGTCATTTGTAAAATATTAAGTGTTTTATATAAATAGTGTTTCAAAACCAGAACTTGTTTCCAAAACTCCAACATTCACTCAACCATTGAAAGTGTGAATAAAATTCCGGTTCATTATTAACAGTTGTGATGTACTGTTCAGCTAATGTTATCCGTCTCTTAAACTTCCTAAACATATCATTTATTTTTATGCAATAACTTATACATTACAATATTCAAGTAGACAACTTTTAAAAATCATAATTCAATTGCAAACATATCTTATTTCAGTGTTTACACAAGCTTAAATATTATTAATTGGTTTCAAATCTCTAATCATATTTCTCAGTGATTTTACTGTAAGTGATATACATTTATTAATTGTTAATATTATAATCACCAAGATCACTATAACCACAAACATTCTCTATACAATGGATACATCTCTAACGTTAATTAAAAATATTTAAGTTATTTGCTGAATAACTATTACTAAAATATTGACTGATGAATGCAAACCATTATAATACATAGAAACCACTTATCATTATTTTTGTTATCAGTGTGTTTTGTTATTATTAATATTAAAGTTATTAAACAATTGTGTTTTGTTAGTGAAATTACACTTTTGTGACTCATCCGTTGATATATTATAGTTTTAGAGTCATAATCAATTTAGAAATACAAGTAACTCAGCTTGGCATTATTACAATTGATATTTTATGCCAACATTTCATTAAATATAAATTATTATTCTATCGATAATATGGGAAATTGTCTGCAAATTGATTGCATTGACTGCGAGAATGACAAGAAAAATGTAATTTTTAAAAATATTTTAGTTTAATTTATTTTATGATAAAAATGAATTTTTAAAATTAATTATAGTCAACAATCAAGAGGAATTCCGTGTATCGTCCCATCTATTACTTTAAGATATTATTTGTCGGCGACCAAAATGTTGGCAAATCATGTCTATTGAGTCGACTGACCAACACATGCGATGACCCCATATCGCCCACAATGGGAGTGGATTTCGCCCGAAAGTCTATGTATATCGACGAGTGTTTAGTGAAGTTTCACTTTTGGGATCCGTCTGGCGATCAAAAGTTTAGAAATCTTTTGCCCAATTATTTCCAAGGTATTCATCGTATTATTATTACATTTATTATAAAGAGTGGCTTTAATTATGAAAACAGAAAATAATACTATGTTTTGAAATGTAATTTCAGGAATAAATGCGGTTCTGTTTATGTATGATATTTGTGATGAACAGAGTTTCGTATCATTGAATGACAGCTGGTGTCCCATAATCCGGGCAAATGCCAGACCGCAGCCACTGCTCAAACTGATTGTCGCTAATAAATCAGACCTGTCTTCAAATCGTGTCATTAGTGTCTCTAAAGGAATACAATTCGCAAATCAGACCAACTCTTTGTTTATGGAGGTGTCGGCCAAAAGCGGGCATAACGTCGATAATCTTCTCTTCATTATTGGACAACAATTGATTGCAATTCAAAATCAATTATCACAGCAATGATACAATTGTGCAAAAGTTTTATACATTGCTTAGTTTAGTATTCAATTCAACGATTGTAGATTTGGTTTGCACAATTTCTATTTAAAATTCACTTTTATTTGACTTAATATTGTGATATTCAACTCAATTATATTTAAATGACTTTTAAATGAATGTTTTAATAATTATTTTATTAACCATCAAAGGATCTCATTCTACAGCAAATGTAATGTATTTTTAATACTTTTTAAATAAGACTAACAAGTAAGCTGTATGTAAGAAACTATTTGTATAATATTAAAATTAATATTCTTTATATTAAAATATAAAGTATTTAATTATGGGGTTTTAGTTAAGAAAATAATCACTAACTACGAGGTGATCTGCTGATAATGATTAGCAGTATTCAAACTAAATTTATGATGTGAAATATGTTCACTTATGACACTTTTCTTATTGTTATTCAAATGAGATTTGCTTTTCGTATAGTTTTCTAAATAAAAACTATAGAATAAATAGAAGAATATTCCGCCCAAAGCCGTTGATATCAATAGAAAATAAGCTGAACTAACATTACATCCGATGAAAGGGGCTCTGATTGAGTGCATTATAATTATAATAAATTGTATTAATTGAAGACCAGTTAAATACTTTTTCCACTTGAGGTACGGCTCAAACCTGTCTCCAAATGAGGCCAATGTGTAGTAGAGATACATAATTACATGTACTATACTGTTGATGAAGGGATACATTGCGTTCTCAACGCTGGGAACAAATTTAAATACACTCCATATGGCGATTGGCACTATTGAGTGGTGAAACACGTGAAGATTGGACACCTATTGTGGTTCATGTGAATACAATCAATATTAATTTGCATTCGCTTTCATTTGTGTATGCCTTATTCTTATGCTAAAATTATCAACTTTATATTCACAATACAGTACAATAACAAAATTATTAATTTAGAATAGTGCTAAATATAACAGCAAATTAACACATTTCGTGCTATGGTATCATTTGTACAAAATGACACTGTTGCGACAAAAATAAAATATCATATACCTGATTATTCTTTTTTCTGAGCACAAAGAATATTGTGTCCATATATTCAGCCATTCTGGACAAGAAGAATATGTATCCCAACCAAATGAAATAGGGGTCCACTTCATCGCAAAGTTGCGGACATTTCCATACATTGAGTCCAAAGTTAGTCCGCGGGATAAAGTTATAGAGACCCCAGAAATTGACGCCAACCATGAATGCGTTAAACACGCGTATTGGCCACCGGAGATCATACGGCTTACGGGTCGACATATACTTAGGACCAATGCGTTTCACAAAAGTCAGATAAATGCCTGAATATATTAAGATAATATTCATTATAAGAGTTTATTATTTTATTATATTTTTAAAAAAATAAATACCCGTTATAAGTAATAGTGACCACGGAGTGGACATCAGTGGATAATCCTTAATGAGTGGACAGTGATATTGATGCCACACATCATAATAGATATACTGAATTAGGGAACTGTTCATTTTAAATGAATAAAAGTTGTTTAACAAATATTTATAAAGTAATACTGAATACAATTGAATTTGTTTAAAGTCTGCGATAAATTTAGATGTGATTCTCAGACAAATAAAATAATTTGTGAATATCTTTCATAACGATTACATGCTTTTAAGTTCAAATACTAGCGCTTCCAGTGCTTTAATAGCTTTAAATTATGTCTCTCCGAAGGGGAAAAGGGTTTTTCACACAACACTTTGTATTATACAGTAGTTTTGCAAATATGTATTTAATTTGATTGTGAAATATTATATCATTGAAAGCAAAATTATTTTTTAAACAATTACTCAAATTACTTACTTATGTGATGCTAAGTAAAGGTTACTTAATCAAGTATTTGATATTGGTTAAAAATGTAATATATTTATTTACTTGTACATTTGTTTACCGGTAGAATTTATAGAAATATTTCATTGATTTCTTTATTTTATTTGCAAAATTCTTTCATAACTTAATGAATTTATTTATTAATTAAGTATTAAAGTCCAAAGAAATTGCTTATCAATTTTCAGTTTTCAATTTATTGATATTTCAATTTTATTATTATGGCCCATAATTTATGGGAGTAAATATTTCATTGGACTTATAATATACTGTAAGACTTATACTATGAACTATATTTTTTTTATAAAACCTATTTAATTAATTTTATACTTTAAAGTTTAAAACGACATAAAGTGTACATAAAATTCAATGTCAACCTCATAATAAATGATAGCACAAAGTGTGNTTTAAAGTTTAAAACGACATAAAGTGTACATAAAATTCAATGTCAACCTCATAATAAATGATAGCACAAAGTGTGTGAGTTTAGAGAAAACGGGAAAAATTATGCTTCAATTTTGATGAAATAATAATTTTGGATGCTTTTAAGCACAGTACATAATTACGGACTCATTTAATTTAATTTAATTTCGCTATTATTTTGACTCACATTTCATGAGAAACTAGTGTTTATTTGTTTACTAAACACGAGAAAGAATATTAGGAAATATTTAAAACAAAACCCAATTTTAATTTTAAAAGATTTATGTTTAGGTATAGGTATAGGAAAATACCATCAAGTAGACTGTACTACCGTACAATTTAATACAATTGTTAGTTTGTATTGAATTTAACTCTTCCGTAAATAATAAGTACTGTACTGTAGTCTCAAATTATAAATATTTAGTTTAATTATAATAATTTTAAATATAATTTTATTAAATTGAATAAATGTTGCAAATACAGTACTACTGATTAG